TGATATCAAAATCCAGACTCATCCTGATTATTATTAGGGGGAGAGTATTCTTATTTCCATTACTGCTGTCATTACTGCTGTTGCGATTTATTTCTTCGATTGTCATGTTTGTGTGTTATTATATTTTATTATTAGTCCTTTTATTATCTTGAATACTATAACTCAAGCTTTGAACCTCAAGCATGCGCAGTAGTTGATGCTTTGCTTGTTCGTCGGCGTACTCAGGCTCAGCTCTCAGGTTTAGCACGGAGACGGGCTTGGGAGCAAGCGCTGGCTTCCCAGCTGCAAATTTCGGTCTTGAGGCGCAGAAGCTGCAGAAGGCACTTTGTCCTGCAGACCCGTCAGGCTGGCTTGTTCAGGCTGGCCGGAGGACATTTTTCGAAGCTGAGTGGTGAGACGAAAGGCTACCAGAGCTGACGCGGTGTGATCTTCTTAGGACTCGATGCTGTCGCGTTTGGGACAGGGTTAAGCGCATGCAGAGGCCAGGTGCTTGCGAGCGTTGCGAGGAGATTGTGTGACTTTTCATGTGGCCAGGTCGGTGGCACATCGCTCTGTCCTTGTGCCTTGGCAAAGAGCGCATCAAGTTCTGCTTCATCCCTGCAGTTTAGCCACGTGTCTGGACATGGCTGGGCAAGCTGAGGTCGAAGGTCATGTTTGCGTCTTCCATCGAAGTAGACGTCATAGCTGAGACCGCCGTCATCAGTGCATGTGAAACCGGACAGGTTTGGCAAGCCGCAATTTGTCAATTGCAAAGGATGGAGCAATATGGACTGCCACTGGACATTATATCTTGTGGTGCCACACTCAGCGCATGTGAGAAGGGTTGCCAGTGGAAGCTGGCACTCAACTTGGGGGCCAGCCCTGCGCTCTCACAAAGTTCACATGTCCAGAATTCTTGCTTGGCTGCCAGTGCCAAAGCTTCCGAGTGGAAGATGGTATTCCAATCGTCTCACACGCTACTGCAGAAGCGTGGGCAGCTTGACGTGTTGAGCTGCAGTTCTGCCCTCCACGCGTGTGATTCAGCATCAAGATGGCAGCGGGCGGTGCATACTTTCTCTATCATGAAGACACGCGGCCCGCATCCAAACGTCGTAAGCTATTCTTCTGCTATAAGTGCCGTATCTGCTTCCTTGAGAGGGGGAGAGTGGGCTTTGCAAGCATTGACTGACCTGAGCACCAGTAGGTTGCAGGCGAATGCAATTTGCTTCAACGCTGTAGTTTCTGCATGTTCAACAGCCTCGCTTTGGAGGGATAGCACGGATGTTTTCCAGAAGATGGTAGAACTTGGGCCAGCGCCAACTATGGTGACGCACGGAGCCGTCATGGCAGCTGTGGAAGGCGTCGGTAGGTGGCGCGATGTGTTGCACTGCGAAGCATTCGGGCGAGAAGCGGGCCTCCGGCCAACTTTAGTCACCTGCGCGACGTCTCTAGCGGCCTGCCGACACGACGCCAGATCTTGGGTCCGTGCAGTGCAATGCCTTGCAGGCGCCCAGGCAGAAACTTGCTGGGACCAACTGTGGCCCCCCACGCTGGTTGTAGCAAACGCTTTCGTTGGCGCATGTAGCGTAGCAGGGCAGTGGCGAGTAGTGATGGAGTTGCTGGATGCCCTGCGTGGGTGGGTGCTGGAACCAGATTACCTTACACTTTCGAGTACGGCCTCTGCTTTGTCAGCATCGCAAGACTCAGCCGATGCTTGGATGCAAAACTTGAATCTCTTGCAAAAATTTGCTGAGCATGCTTTGCAGCCGGACTATTCGACAATGGAGTCCATGCTTGCGACGTGCGAGGGTAAGCCCTTGCTGCAGGACGGGGCATCTGGCAGTCAGCTAATGTCTAGGCAACTCCTGAGCATGCTGCAGACTTCGGCAGCGGAAGCACTTGAAAAAGGCGCAGGCTTGACTGCTCAGTACAACAGCAGGCTGCTTAATTCTTGGCTGTCTTCTGCCTGGCTGTTAGGACTTTAACTTTTTGGGTTCCCTACTTTCCATATTAAGGAGGCTAAAAGTTTAATTTTTAGGGGGGGTCCTAAAGACAGCTAAGAATTTCAAATGTTGGACTCTTAAACCAGGCCGACGCGGGCTGAGGAAGACGAATGTTTGGCTAGTTTCTTTCTGTTGCAGCTTGACAGGCCCAAACTTGTAGCGCTCCGTTCTCTTCCTTGCGGGATGGCAGAAGAACAACCTGCGCGTGATGCTGCTCTCCTGCAGGATTCTAGGGGGCCCGACACTCATGAACCATGGGGCCCGTTTTGCAGAAAAGAGTTCAAGGCGATGTGGTCCTTAGGGTGGCCTATTGCGGTGAGCATGTTTTGCAGATTTGCGATGTTCTCCATGGACTCCGCATGCGTCGGACACCTCAACAACAAGCCACTGATCGACAAGATGCAGCCCTTGTTGAACTTCCCTTGGTCGATGTCAAGTACAGAGATGCCAAACCTTCCGGCAGCTCCGCTTACGCTCGTCGAGCTCGAAGACGTTTACGGGCCTGCTGAAGATGCTACAACGTTGTCAGACCAGATTTATACTCCAAAGGAGTACCTGGCAGCCTCCAGCCTTTCAGACACCTGTCAGTGTTTTTTAGTGCAGAAGGCAGTTGAGTAATGTGAATCCAGTGAAATCTGGTTGTGTTCGGCTAGATGCAGACAAGTCATGCCATTTGTGTAACTTTACGCGTTCCTGCATGATTCATGCTAGCTTTGTACTAATGAAGTTGGATTCCCAGCATTCAGGACATGATAACAAACTTTCTGACGACGCCGCTGTTGGCAATGGCTTTCGGACTGAACCCGCTGATTGCGCAGTCAGTGGGGTCAGGCAACTTGAAGATGGTTGGGACTTGGTTGAAGCAACTTTCCTGAATTTATGGGGATGCCGTGCTTGATGAAAGCGATTACCAAATCATTAGTTCAGTGAATGCAGATGTTTGATTTTCGCTCGTGTGCTCAGCCCTCTTTCCAGCACAGTCTAAATCCTGTTCAAGGGGTTAGAAAGCCTCAAAGTAAGTAGTCAGCAGTCTGAGCACAGGGCTGCGGCAAAGCCGAGTGCCTCGTAGAGCTGGTACATCTGCCTCCTTAGAAAGCAGCACTACCAGACCATGTAAGGTTGAGCATGTTTTGCGTAACGTTGGGAACAATTCCTTTCATCACCGGCTTCTTCTTCGTCGATGAGATTCTCTCATCTTTGCGATTTGATCCCGACGTTTGCCATTTAGCTGGAATCTATGCCAGATACAACAGCATTTGGGTGTTGCCAAACTCCTGGTATGTCACGATGCGCATGTACTTCCAGGCGCAGGGCAAGCCGCGGCCTGCGATGTACTTTGGGCTCATCTTCCTTTTCGTCAACGCGCTTTTCTTGTATGTCTTAGTTTTTGGCGGTCCAGACAACGGCAGTTGGTGGCATGTTGGCGGCCTCGGCTTTATCGGGGCAGCTTTGTCTATCAGCTGTTCACGGATCGTGCAGAGCTTCTTCTACTGGCTCTACATGTTTGTAATTACGAAGGCGCATGCGCCGACGTGGCCCGGAATGGGATGCGATTTTCTGCAGCGCAAGTATGTAAAGCCATACTTTGCACAAGTTCTGCCTCAGGTTGGCACCATGCTCCTTCAATTTTTGATCTCCCAATCCACCACGCTTTTGGTGGGTAAGCTGGGTGTCTTGCAAGTGGCTTCAAGCACTGCAGCCTCGCAAGCGACGGTGCCAATCACCGTTTGTTTGCTGATTACGTTCTCATCCATGACGGCCATCCGTGTGGGGATGAAACTGGGCAAAGGGGCAGCCCGGGAAGCTGCGCAGACAGCTTGGCTTTGCCTCGGGACGCAGGCAGCATCACCCAACATGAAGGGGCTTATTCAACCCATACAGCATGAAAACATGATAGTGTGGAGTACGACATGAGGGCAATTAAGCTGTGCAGGCTGCGTTGCTTTTGCACACGGTGAGCTCAAAACAAACTTCCCCGCCTGCGTTTGAGCCTGCAGGCTTCGCTGACTGCCCTCTTCGGCGCAGTGGCTATTCCTTTGCGGAAGGAGTTCATGTCTCTCATGACGAATGACCCTCAGGTGAGGCAGTTGGCCTCAGAGCTTCTTGTTCCCATCACTCTGAATTTCCTCTTTGCTGGGGCAGTTAGCACGGTGAACGGTGGAATTCTCGCAAGTCAGGGACGAACGTACTTGAGCGCCGTCATGGTCATGTTGTTTGAGCTGCCGCTCTCTCTCGGAAGTATCGCAGTTTTAGTGCTAGCATTTCACGTTGATGTGCATGTCGTGTACTGGGTACAAGCTGGCATAACCTTCCTGGAAGCAATCATTGTGCTGATACTCATCTCCCGCAGCGACTGGGACAAATATGCCGAGGATGCTCGAGCTAGGAATCAGATGTCGCGACAAGCATCAGGGCAGGAAGACCGCACAGAGGCAGGATCCTGAGATGCCTGAACTACGGGCAGGGTTTAACAAACTGGAGGGGGGGAAGTGGCTTGACGCAACAAAGTAGTTCAATCATGTTCAACCTTCGTTGCACCAGTCTTTCTCCTGTCTCTGCAGCACCTTCATGTCTTCAAGTCTCACCCATGATTCCTCAAGTTCGTCCAGATGCCGAAAATTTGATTAAAAAAATTGATTATTTTGCCTCGGACTGGAGCATGATGTGCAGATGGGCTCATAATTTTTCTGTGCTCGACACAGGTTTTCAGAGATGCATGCTACAACCGCGACTGATGGAATGGATTAGTGCAGGGAACTTAAATGGGAGACCTCATGGACCCTATCATTCTGCAGGTAGTTCCCATCAATTTGCATACAGGTTGAGTAGGGAGGTTCCCTCGAAAATATCATATGCCAAACTACAAATCCATTATGATTCTTCTCATTTTCCTGCGGCAAATCAATTTTCAAATTAGGTTGGCTGCCCTCATGCAGAAAAATATCTCAATATTACGGCGCGGCCGCTTGTGGTCATTTCGCTCGCACGCGGCCTAGGTTTTCCGGCTCACCTTTGAAATGCCTCCTGCGGGCTCCCTAGAACCTCTAAAATCTCGGAGATTTCAGAGCCCTTCGGAAAATCTAGAGGCTCTAAAATCTCCGAGGTTGTTGGTGCGGGCGGTGGGACTAAAAATCTCGGAGATTTTTGGTCACGCGGCCCTTGCCTCCGGAGCAATTTTCCGCGTGATTTATCTCTCTTTGGCTGTCTGCGCGGCTGCTGGGCGGAGCGCATAGACCCGGGACACAGAATCAAAATCTTGTAGAATTCATAGGTTGGCCGTATCGGCTGTCTGCACGGCGGCTCGGTGTAGACCCGGGACGGAGATCCAAAATCTTTCAGAATCTACTAGATTAGCGATGTTTAGTCCCATGCAGTCTTATATATAGATTGCTCGTCGGGATACACGTAAGATCTCATAAATTCGCCGCGCAGATAGCCCAAGAGAGATAGATGAGGCGGCAAGAGTGGACTTCGATTCGAAACTATCTCCGGGAACGTATATTTTTAATTCTAGTCTCTTTATTTGGACGATGGGAGTAAATTCACGTGATTTTGAAGATTTCGTCTGATGAGCTTGTGATAGATGATATGATTCAAATTCTGAATGATTTGAGGTTTTGATCTCGGATGATATCTTTAAAATATGAGGATTTCTTTTTTTATTTGATTTGAAATTCTTCGATTTTTTAAAGATTTCTTTTCAATCGTTTTTCGCGGATTATGAAAATTTACTGAAAAATATTCGTTTCATCTAGCCGGATTTTATTTGGAATTTGAATATTTTATCTACTTGCTGCATTCTTCTTACGATGAAATTTATTTATTCTTGAGTTTTGGATTGCGTAATTTCGAATTTCAAAGGTTCGAATGTTGACATATTTATAGATTTGGATTTGGGATCTGGCGGAATCGGCTGAATTGAAATTGAAATTCTTCGCCCGATTACGCTGGACCCTAAAATCATAGAATTATAAATTCATATATATATATATATCATACGGACGACTAAATTTGGAAAAGTTGTTTGAAGTTATTTTTGAAAAATTGAATAAATATTTCAGGAAATCGGATTCGATTAAATATGAAACCGTCATATCTTCTATCGAAATAATGCGGTAATCTCGAGTAGCTAGTCGCGTTTTTAAAATTATGAGGCGTTGCGTGGTGACGAGGCCGGAGCGGGGAGGGAGAGGGGGCGGGATTGATATTATAGCTGAGGGGGGGACGGGCGGTCGATCGCGGTCACGAAAGGAGGGGGGAGAAATGGCTTGCCGAGATCCCCGGGATTCGGAGAGAGATAATCGATTTTTGATGCGAGCTCTCATTTCAAATCCCAAATAGCATATTGGTTTGAATTATATTAATTCGAAAATATAGGTGGTTGAGGCAGGGGCGGCGGCGGCATTTGGGGATATTGGAAAAGGAGGCGGGGGAGATGGCGAATTGGGGAACTATCATCTTTTATATTATTATAATAAGATCGGAGAATGAGGAAATGATATATATAGAGAGGTCAATAGATTTTCGATATCATCTTCCGATTCGAAATCGTAAATAAAATACCGTTTGAATTATATCGATATATAAGATTCTCTGATATATTGATCATATATTGGCGCGTATTTATTGATAGAATCAATGGGTCCCCTCTCTCATAATTTATATAAATGATATAGAATTAATCTTTATCTTATTCTCCGTATTCATTTCACTCTAATTTTCAAAAAAATAATGAATTATCATCTATTATTTCTAGATAATTTTTGATTTAGAAATATTTTGGGTTCTGAATATTTTGAAAGGATATTTCAATATTACGGCGTAATTGATTGCGGTCATTTCGACCGTGCGTGGCTTAGCCTTTCCGGCTCATTTCTAAAATATTTCTTGCGGGCTCCCTAGGGGCTAGAGGCTCTAAGATTTCCGAGATTTTTGGGGCGGACGACGCGACAAAAAATCTTCGAGATTTTTGGCGCGCGGGCTTTCTCCCCGGAATATTTTTCCGTGGGATTTCTTTCTTTGGTTGCCTGCGTGGCTGGCTTATTTGCGTACCTGATCGATAGAACGTATACTTCCAAGATAATCATATTTATCATATATCCCTCTCGATCTACCGCAAAATAATAAATCCAAGATAGATAGATCAAATGGAAATTCCGGACCGGAGATCTTGAACCGCAGGAAAAAAAAATCTCTTGAGATTTCGAATCATTTCTTTCTTTTTTTTTGACTATCCGTAATCTTCCGTAAGATTCATCTCTTTTTATCTGTATATGTGGCTGGTCGGCGGAACATATAGATCTAGAATGGAGATTCCAAAGAATTCAGAATTTATAGATTGGTCATATCTATCTACGGGTATTCATATCTTCTTCCGATCTATTAGGCAATAATTAGCCTAAGAGAGATAAATGAAGCGGAAAGATCGGATCGGAGATTTTGGGTCGCACGACCAAAAAATCTCGTGAGATTTCGATTTGTTCTTTGGCTATCTGCGCAACGGTTCGGCGGAATCTATGGGCACGAGATGGGGAGATAAAATCTTTCAGAATCTACAGATTAGTCATTTTTCTGAAATTTTCAATATAAGATTCAGATCTTTAAGCTTCGTAGCAAAAGTCAAAAGATACGGCAATCTTCAGGATTTCGACGAATTTGATGTCGCAGAAGCCGCCATGTCGCTACTAGCACAACTTGCAGCAACAATTCCTCTGAAAAGACGCTTGCCAAGAGGATATTGGGGGGAAAGCGATACGCAGACGTATTGTACGGTATTAGGGGGAACCCGGCTTGGGTCAGAGGAATTTACTCAAATCATTGGGATTAATGACGATCTGATTTCTCCTGGGCAAGTCCCTTCAGATTTGGGAGAATCTGATAAAATTCAGAAGAATGATCAGCGATTCCAATAGTCATGACTAGCAAGCTTATCATCTGCCATCTCAGATTCTTGTAGATTGATCTGATGATATTCTCCCGATAAACAGCTACTATACGATATTTCATGAAATATCTAGAGAATAGAGCCTCCAATTCTGTCAAATCAGGGAAGCAGAGCCACGTCACGATTCGGATTTCGAGTTGAAATTAGAGTTTCATTAATCCGTAGAGGGATATATATATGATCACGTATAGAATAGAAGATAGAAATAGGTCGTATCAGATTGCCTAGGAAAAAATCGTCAGATTCTGAGATATCTCTCCAAAGCTTTGGGTTCCAATCTATAAGCCCGCCCCACCAGGAATATCTGGAGATGGGCGCCTGAATCTTGGAGAATATTTTGATATCCCAAATATGCAGTTCCCTCAATTGCTGCTAGCCTGAAAGCCCTCAATTTCAAAGTACCAACGTATATTCAAGATACGAGATATCAAATTGAGAGGAAGTAGGATTTCGAATTCTATGAATCGTTTTCTTCCGTATCAGCTGGCTTGCCGTTACGCGTATACTCCAACGACGATGCTCCGCTGCTCTAAGCAGCGGGTCCATTCTAATGTCATAGCATAATGATTTTCGATTTCAAAGAGAGGATAATCTCTTTTTAAATAATTTTGCTAGAATGATTTATAATTATATATCTCGATTCTTGAAAATCGTGTGCCCGTTCGAGGTAATCGTAATTTTATCATATTTATATCTTCAAAAATCGGGGAATATCTTCGAAATTTCGTTGATTTATTCTCATCAATTTCTATAGTTTTTTCTTCTCATACGGAATATTCAGAAAATTTTGATGAAGGATGATATTGGGGAAATCATTTTTTTTGACCAAAATCGAATGAATCTCGATATTCTTTCTTCAAAATTATTTTCTTGATTTAAAAGGTCGGTCTTGAATAGAATCTTCCAGAATAATTTCGGAATAGATTTCGTGAATCCGTCGTTCATTCGATTCTAGATTGATTATTCCGTTCAAATTCATCTTCTTTATTTATATTTCGATCTCATGCGGAATATCCTGATCATTTCGTTGATTATTCGTTCAAAATCATATTCTTATGCGAAGCATTCGCGAAATTCGATCGATTTTTAATCTATATATATATATTAACTTATATTCGTATATATATCTTCATGATTATATATATATATAATTATATGCTCTCCTCCCCCTCCCAAGAACTACCTTTTGGGCTAAAAATTGCTTAAGTCATGAGCCGATAGGAAAGCAAAAGATCCCCAATATTAAAAAAAATATTGATAATGGCACTATTATGAATATTCGTCTTCGTATCAATATGATCATGGCTAATAATATTACTACCCAAATCAATATGAATATGAGAATTAATAGTAGTATGAATATTAGTTCCAATATGCATATTGATACTCATATTATTATTAAGGTTGATATCAGTAATGCTAGTACCAAATATGAACAGAAGAATTAATATTTCTTTTATATATGAAGCATGATTAATATGGATATTCGTATCGCCTTTA